ACGACTTGCACCGGACTGGAAACTGCATTCCTGACCACCATAAAGCGCCTGTGCGAAGTACTAGAACAAACGCTACGGTCGTCGAACAGCAGCGCGCGCGGCTTCGGATGCTCTCCGCCTCCCCTTGTTACCGTGGCATCTTCACGAGGGTAGAGAGCTTCAACTGCTCTGTCCGGTCCACCTTTGCTTTTTGGTCAGCCTCTGCAGCACGGAGACAACAGATCCTTTGCTTTTGCTCAGCTTTGGCTTGCACAGTAGCTTACGGTGCTGGCTAGGAAAAGTGACGATAACTTACACCAGATACGAAACTGTCTCCCTTTGGTTCCCAAGTAGTAGTACAAATGGCTTGCCCCAGTCTTCTTTCCAACGTTGAAGACTTGGGAGTTTCAGAACCATTTTTGCTGGGTCTCTATATGTATGCTTTTACTCCTAAGTTAGTACTTTGTGATGTGCTGATTGCTCGAGACTAGCTGTATGCAGAAGATGAGCTATACAAATGCGATCAAGAGCAGCATTGAAACTAACCTACAATGTCGAACTACCTAGTTTTAGTTTGAGTTAATACCACAATTGGTACATAAACTTGTAAGGATGGGAACAGATTCATACAGAAACTAAAAACCCACACAAAAGTGGCCCTCCAACTCGACTGATGTAACAAAACCATACAAACCAGTTCGAACTGCACACGTGACGCACCAGGTGGACTCCGTCGGGGCCGAAGCGCGTTTTTGCAAAAAAAAACACGTTCTTTGAATTTTTCGTACGTGGTGCGCCTCTGTCCGTACGATGTCATTTTTAGGTAACCCCCCGTCGACGCCCCCCAAGGCACAATCCCCTTCCAAAACCTTACCTTTCCCTTTCGTTCTCCCCTGTCCTCCTCCTGCTCGATGTCTCCGAGGCGACACCGTCATGGAGCTCATCGGCGACGAGTTCCCTCCTGAATATGGTAAGCATCTGGCCCTCCTCTTGGCAAGCCATGGCCGCTCCTCTGCTTCCCCTGTTCCTGCACCGCTTGGTTAGGTTTTCTAGGCGCCATGATGATGCCGACTTCTTCTCAATTTTGGGTCGATCTGCTCACTAGGGTTTGTTGTGCGCATCCACCGCTTGGAAGGAGGAAGCAGTTTGCATGAGTTTATTTAGGGTTTCTGTGGTGCTGATTAGGGGG